TCTTTTTTCGAAAGCCTGAAGCAAGCGTGTCTGCCCCGTGCTCTCAGTAAATGAAGCAGAGCTGGGCATTTGAGAGAAAACGATACTGTTGGCTAGCAGTAACCCTGGAAAACAGCTGAACAAAGAGTTGGATGTGGCAGGTGGGCCCCGCTGGGCAGGAGAGCGGCCCAGCTCGTGTGAGAAATGAGATTCAGGTTTGCTCCCCGGCAAGGAACGGGCCTCGTGCCTCTCCACAGCCCCGGCAGGATCTGCTGCTGCCTCCGTGCCGCTGGCTGGGTGAGGGGAAGGGCTGACACGGGTGGACCCGGAGCGCCTGCTCCTGCTCTGCTGCTTGTGCTGTTGGGGGGCTTTGGTTTGCCTGCGTTTCTAAACTGGGGACAACCGGTCTTTAAACCTCCCTTAGGGGCTCTTTTCCCGTGTGCTTTGAGCCTAGCGCCCATCAGAGGGTTTCTCCTTCGGTCTGAGAGGACGTTGGGTTGCAGGCCGGGAAAAGGGAGCTCGAGCTCCCAAACCCAGGAACCTCAGGTCTTGTGTGTGGGTTTTTCCCTCTGAGCAGGAGGAGCCTGGGGGATTTGGCATGGAGATGACAGCTTCTGAAGCTCCCCAGGCGCTGCCTTGCTTTGTCGTGAGCTTACCTCCTCAATGCCTGCTTCGAACCGAGCTGTTGAAGCTTCAACAGCCCCGTCAAGGTGCAGAAAGGGGGGGACCGCTCAGCTCAGGCCTCTGGATGCTTCTGGGGTTTGATTTGGCCCTTTTTCCCCTTTGCGAGATCTTGAAGGATCCTAAAACCGGAGAGCCCGCACCTTTTGCCTTGGTCCTCCAGAGGGGCTGGAGGGATGGTCTGCGCTCCCCCGTTGGCTGATGCTTTCTCTGATGTCTCTCCCCTGTGGTTCTTGATGCGTTTCAAAGCCCTGCAGCGTCCGGGGGGGCCCCTGATTTTACAGATGGTGAAGCGCAGGGATTCTCGCTCCCTTTTCCCCTGCGTGGTGGGTCCAAGCCTGGCCAGGCCCAGGGGACCGCGGAGGCTGCTGCCTCGGCAGACACAGACCCCTCTGAGTCCCCGAGCTCCCTGGAAGGGGACCGGGACACATGCCTGGAGAGAGGGAAGAGCCTCTCCAGGAATATTGAGGATTTTACTTTGGCTTTCGAGCGGAGGGCAGGATGCAAACGCTGCCGGGGAGGCTGAGGAGCCTGGTTTGGCGTCGGCAGAGCCCGGGCCCCCCGTAGTCGCTGCTGGCTCTCGCAGCCCTGTGCCTGCCGCACCCTGCCCTGCCCGTGGTGGCAGCGGGGATGCCGAGCGCTGGAGTCTGTGGATCCCGGCGCTGGCAGATGGCAGGGGAAGGGGGGGGCTGCTCCGGCCATCGGCCGCAGCGCTGGGGGGCACGGCGGCGGGGAGGGCCCCCTCCGGCTCGCATCGCCACCAGCGGCTGCTGTCAGAGCACCCCCGCACCCAGGGCTGCCTCCTGAAATGCCAGGGGGTCAGAGGAGTTTGGTGCCGGGCTATTTTATTTTATTTTTTATTTTTTTTTTCCCTCTGAACCTCCCCTCCCACTGCAGCCGTCACTGCTGAGCCCTGACCTCATGATGTCATGCTGGGAGTAGGACGTGTTGCTGGTTCTTGTTTAACCAGCCTGCCTTTCTATCATTTTCCCCCTCTCCTACACGTGAAACCTGAGACCACTCTCTGTCCCTTCCCCCGCTTTTTTTTTTCTCTTTTCCTCCCTCTCCGCTCCATCCAGAAGCTCCTTCCCATCAGGTCAGTACTGGGCTCAGGTCCCTGGCACAGCAGCTGCCTCTCCGGAAACGCAGTGGGGACGGCGTTTGCAAATTGTGCCGTTAAAGGCTTGCTAGATAAGCAAATTCTTAGGAGATCAGGAGGCAGAGAGAGAAATCTCATGTGCTGGCAAGGGGCTGGGTGCTGTGATTTGGAAATAGGCTGTGTGGGTTTGGACTATGATTACGGAGCAAGTGGATGCGAGTGGGAGCAGGGGCGTGTCACTGGGGCGACGGCGAGGGGACTTTGTGGATCACTTGAGTGTCAGTGCTGCATGGGAAGGGGCAGAAAAGCAGTTGGTGGTGTGGAGAAGCGTGGGACAAGTGCGAGGGACGGGCACAAGCAGGCGCTGCCGGGTACAGGAACCCTGTGAGGGCCGGGGATGTCGGGGTGCCGGTTCCCCGCAGGGGCTGTTCCCCACATTGCTTTGCCGCCCTGGATGCTTCTCTTTGCCTGCTTCCTCCATCCCCAAAAGCAGGAGGTGGTATTTCCTCCCTGCTGAGGAGGAAAAAAGGGGGCGAGGGAGACTTAATTCTGTGTCTGTGGTTCCACAGGTTTTAATTGTGGATCCACAGACATGGAATTAAATAGACTTTTAAAGTGCAAGAGCCATTCTTAATGTTAATATTTGTTTCTCTTCTGACCTGTGTTATCTCCTCCGAAGCTTGCCTGAATCCTTTTATATTAGCAAAACTATAGTTCTGGAAAGTAGTGAGGGGCGGCTAACGAACGTTGAAGTTGGAGAATCTGTCTGGCACCGGGCTAGATACCAGAAGGTGGTTCCCAGAGCAGCCGCCGGGGGGGCCTACGCAGCAGCGAAGAAAGCAGAAAGGGGAAGGATGTAGCTCCAACAGGTATGGGGCTTCGGCGGGGTGGGATCCGTCGGTGGCAGAATGAATCCTGATGTGATGGGAGATGGTCCTGAGCTGGGCGCTGCTCCAGCTCCGTCGTGTGGCGTTCGCATCGCCCCGTGCCTCGGTTTCCTCACGTGTGACAGGGGACAGGGGCTAAACCCCAACTTTGGCAAGAGTGCGAGCTCGTTAGGACGTTACCCGTATGTCAGATCTCGCTTAAGAGGGAAACGCTGTTTGGAGACGGAGAGAAAAACAAAGTCCTCTTGCAGGTTCAGCGTGTACGGTTTTCTGTGGGGCTGAACAGCAGCACAGCCTGTGTTTTCTTAGTGTTTCCTTAATAGCTTGCTGTCAGGCTAATAATATCTCATAAAATCCTTTCATCTCTGAAATCTTGTTTACTTTTTGGCCTTCCTCACTTTGGACAGTAAAATGACGCTGTTCGGTGTCACTTGAAAAATATCAGGTTGGTTTTGGCGTATTGCTGGGGGGAAGAGCTCTGTCTGGCTGCTTTCAGGAAATTTTCCTCTTTGGAGCTACCCTTGCTGGAGCAGGGCACTGCGTGTGTTGCAGTGAGAAACTGCAACGAAGCCATCTAAACAAAACCCACTCATTTTAAAGTGGTTTTCTACTACAAAGCCATGGCTGCTTGTATCAGCTTGTGCAAAACTTCTCAAAACTACATTTCGAGTCCCAAACCAAAGGAAAGCTGAGCGTTTATCTCGCACAATCTCTCGACCACGAAATCCGGGCACGGGCTCTGCAGCGCTCTGGGCTCTGCTCCCGGCTGCGCTTCCTTTGACAAGTCGCAGGGCTGCGGGGAAGGCAAGGCAGGGCTGCTGTGCCGGGGCTTTCTCCGTGCCGCGGCAGATGCCACCGATCCCGGCCCTCCCCGGCACCAGCTGCGAGCTGCATCAACCATTAATGGGGCTGTTTCGTGGGAGCGGGGCGGCGGGAGGAGCTGCCCCCCGAGAGCAGGGAAGGGGAACAGATGAACACTGGCCGCTGCATAAATAACCGAGAGCGGGGCTACCGCGGGCTTTTCTTTCCTCCTCTCCACCAGTTGCCAGTAACAGGGGGCTGGGGAGGATTTGGAGGGCGAAAGGAGGCACTGAAATGGAGAAAAGCTGTGCCAGGTGCTACAAGTTTGTTGCTTGGGGAATTTTCCCCCTCCCTTCAAGGTCCTCTGAAGATTGCGAGGTCTCCGCCGGGGAGTGAGATTGTATAACACCCAGCGCTCGTTTGGCTCATTAAAAACAGTTGTTCTCACCGGTGACGTCTCCTCTGCACAAAGGCTGGGGCTTTTTAACAGGGGATCAGTTTTAAAATAGCTCCAAGAGCCCCAGGAGGACAAGAGAGGCAGCGATCTGCTCGGCTCCCTGCGGCCAGGTGAACCTGTCCTTATTACTTGGTGTTTTGCAGATACCCGTGGCAGAGGTTTGTTTTCCTCCCGGGCTGCCTTGGCGCTGGCGGCCCGAGGGAGGCCACTGGGCTCGAGGCCTGGGAGCAGCGGCACAGGGACAGGCTTTGTCAAAGGTTTCCTCTGTGCCTCGGAAGCTAATCCTGCCCGTCACGTGGTGCCGGGAGCGCAGCCGTTCCCGTTCCCGCTGGCCTCGGCCGCGGGCCCCCCGTGCGCGTGTGTGCAGGAGGGTGGCATGGGGCGGGGGGGGGGGGTTAAACCCGGCTTTAACTTTCTTCCAAAGTCAGGTTTTGAAGGGTGATTTTTCTTGTTTTGGTGCAAACTTGCGGGCAGCAAGTCCCTGCGAGGGTCAGGAAGGGAAACAGGAAAAGCAGCTTTTAAAAATAGCAAGCCCTTGAAATAGTCCCAGCATTCAGCCTCTTTTGTCTGAACCGCTCCGGCTGCTCCAGAGCGGCCCCTGCTCGCCCCACGGCCGCTGAGCCAGGCTCGGTGGCGGGCGGCCGGGGGGGCCCGGTGCTTCTGCGAGCGGTTCCCGCCGGTCCCGTGCCAAAAACGTGCGGGGGAAGCCCTTTGGGTGCTCTTGGCGTCGAGGGTGAGTGTGCAGTCAGTCCCCCGTGCCCCTGCCAAACCCAGGGCCGGGCGGCGGTTGTGGCCGCAGCTTCGAGTGGCAAACGGATCCCCAAACCTGTGTGAGCATTTGAAGGGCTGCGTGGCGGGCACAGCCGGGTGGTTTGCGAGGGTGGGACCCTTTGAATATGTTTTGACACGACCAGATATGGGACCAGCATAGGGATGTGGTGTGGAGGTGGGGAATTGTCTCCGTTTTGGCCCACGGAGGAGGATGTGGGGTGGCAGTGGATGAGCAGTTGTACGAGCTGATGGCACAGGCAGAGCTGGCACGTTTTGGGGGGTTTTGACAGGAGGAGTCGGGGGAAAGGAAAGCAGCATCATCTCCATGCGTGCTGTGGCCAACTTTGGTGTTGGCCTCCTGAAACAGTGAGCTGGGCAAACCCCTTCTGGTGAACAAATAAGCTTTTCTTTTAAGGGAGGCTTGGCTGCTGGAGAGGAGATTTTTAACAACGTTTTATCTTTTCGTGGTAGACTAACTGAGCAAATGAGCCTTAAAAATAACAGTTGTGTTTCAGCACTAACTCGTTGCCTTATTATTGCAGCTGTGAGCCTCATTAGCTTCTGGGGGGCTTGCAGTGGTTCCCCTCAACGGGACCAATTCAGGGTCTGTGTCTTGGTGGTGCTGCGATGGAGCTGGGGCCAGTGTGAGTCCTGGGCCAGCTTTTCTGCATTTGCTGATAACCAGCTTGGCGCTGGTTTGTCTGGGCCTCGCCTCTGACAGTCTCTGTCTGGTGGGCGATAATCTGCTGGTGGGAAGCACCTGGGCTGGCGTTGGGTCTGGTGGAGAGATGCTCGGGTTGCTCCTGACTTGGAGCTGCAGGTCTGCAGATTCAGACTTGGGAAGTGGAATGTTCTTTTCCTCATGGTTGTTCTTCCAAAGGTTGTGGATTTTTACTGCCTTTGTTGTGCTGTGGAGGGCAGCAACCAAGACCTGCCTCTTGCCCAGCCTCCTGCTCTTCTGAAAGGCAGAAACTGAACTCGCAGCA